TGCCCCTGAATGCCCCTTAGTGCATCAGAAATGCCCCTGAAAGCCCCATAATGCCCCACACTGCCCCATACTGCCCCATAATTCCCCATACTGCCCCTGAATGCCCCACAATGCCCCATACTGCCCCTGAATGCCCCATAATGCCCCTGACAGCCCCTGAATGCCCCATAATGCCCCCTACTGCCCCATAATGCCCCTGAATGCCCCATAATGCCCCATACTGCCTCCTAATGCCCCTGAATGCCCCATAATGCCTCCTAATGCCCCACACTGCCCCATACTACTCCATAATGCCCCATACTGCCCCTGAATGCCCCATACTCTACCTGAATGCTCCATAATGGCCCCTAATGCCCCATAACACCCCATACTGCCCGATAACGCCTCTGAATGTTCCTGAATGCCTCTGAATGCCCCATAATGCCCCACACTGCCCCATACTACTCCATAATTCCCCATACTGCCCCTGAATGCCCCATACTCCCCCATACTGCCTCCTAATGCCCCTGAATGCTCCATACTGCCCCAAACCGCCCCACACTGCCCCATACTGCCCCATAATGCCCCATACTCTACCTGAATGCCCCATAATGCCCCTGACGGCCCCTGAATTCCGTATACTGTCCCTGAAGGCCTCAGAAATGTTCCTGAATGTCCCTGAATGCCTCTGATGGCCCCTGACTGACCCTAAATGCCCCATACTGCCCCTGAATGCCCCATTCTACCCCATAATGCCCCATACTGCCCCAAACTGCCCCATACTCTCCCTGAATGCTCCTGAAATGCCCCTGAAGGCCTCAGAAATGTTCCTGAATACTTCCTAATTCCCCACACTGCCCCATAATGCCCCATAATGCCCCAAACTGCCTCCTAATGCCCCTGAATGCCCCATAACACCTCCTAATGCCCTATACTGCCCCATAACACCTCCTAATGCCCCACACTGCCCCATAATGCCCCATACTGCCCCATAATGCCCCATACTGCCCCCATAATGCCCCTGAATGCTCCATACTACCCCATACTGACCCATACTGCCCCTGAATGCTCCTGAAATGCCCCTGAAGGCCTCAGAAATGTTCCTGAATACTTCCTAATTCCCCATAATGCCCCATACTGCCTCCTAATGCCCCTGAATGCTCCATACTGCCCCATAACACCCCATACTGCCCCACACTGCCCCCTACTGACCTGTGCGGGGCCCAGGTGCTGGCAGTCTGCGTTGGGGCTGCAGCCCCCCCGACTCTCCTGCTGGCAGTTGTTGATCTCTGCGCACGCCCGGCCGTCGCCCGTCCAGCCCTCCGCGCACACGCAGGACGCGTTCCCCGGACCCACAAACACACACTCCGCCTGCACACACCGGGTCAGACAGGGGGTGACCTTTGACCTCTGACCTCTGAAACAGGGACACAGGCTGTGGGAGACCCGGTGAGGGAATACGGATATTTAGTGGAGTAGAGTCTTTCTATTAGTTTTTTTCTCTTAGTTTAGAAGAATACGTGTTTAACTATTCAACTATTTTGTTTTATTTTTATATTTTGTTTAAAAAAAAAATTAAAACACAAACGCACCACGCTTCAGTTCATTTTGAACTATTTTGTTCCTTTTTATGGTCATATTGCGTGTTTCTGGTATAATTTCTCCTGTTTTTGCCCATTTTACATGTCTTCTTAGTGGTTTTGTGCATATTTGTGTTGGTTTTATATCTAACTAATTTATTTTCTCCTTTTTTCTGTTAATTCTGTGTCAGTGTTTTACCATTTCCAGCCTAGCTCTGAGGATTTGGGTATTTTTGGAATCTTTGTTTTTTCCTTGTTTTTTTAAAAACACGAACACAGACTGTGGGAGATCGGGTGTGGGAATACGGTTATTTAGTGGAGACTTTCTATTAGTTCTGGTGTTTTTGCTGGTTTAAATTCTAAGCCATCCACGTCAGAGCCGTCCTAAGAGTTAATTCTGTCACTTCTGGGGGGAATTTTAGGTGTTTTTGTCCTGTTTCCATGGTTGTTTTGTCATTTCCTGTTTTATTTTGAAAGGTACATCCCCTTGTTTCAGGCTTCTTTCACTCCCCTGTGTGTCACATGTCTGGTTTTCTTCCTTGATACCTATTGTGTGCACCTGGGGTTCCCTTCATGTGTTTAAATAGTCCTCGTTTCCCCTTGTCTGGTGCCAGTGAGTTTTTGTCATTTGACCAAACTGTGGAGCCTTGTCTTGAACCATAGTCTTTGCCTTTAATCCCTAGTGGCCTCTCTCGAGTGCCTTTTTGAGTTTTTCCCTCCTAGCCATTGTGCATCCTAGTGATTATTTCTTTGTTACTTTGTACCTGGTCCTTTTGTCCTCGTTCGTGAGCGATTTTGATTTAGTACTTTGTTCATAGTCTTGTTTACTTATTTGATACTTTGTTCGCAGCCTTGTCTGCCTCGTTAGAGCGATTATATTTTGATACTTTGAGTTCCCATTCCTGACAAATTCAGCTGGAATTCTGCTAATAAATCCTCAACAACATGGGAGCCTTCAGGATGAGAGAGCTTGAGAAGAAGAAGAGGAGGAAGAAGAAGAAGAAAAAGAAGAAGGAGACTTCAGGATGTGAATAGAAACACCTTTAAAGCTTGAGAAAAAGAAGACCAAGAACAAGAACAAGAGCAAGAAGGAGTCCAGCTGCCTTCATTCTAGCTCTGAAGTTTTGAGTATTTTTGGAATCTTTGTTTTTTCCTCTTTAGTTTATTTTCCTTTTTTCTAGTTTCTCTCCATCTTTCTAGTCCTCGTCATTCTTCTTCTTCTGTTCTGGTCATGAGCTTAATGTCTGAAAAACCTTTTCTCCTACATCATTTTTAGCACGTTTTTAAAAACTAGTGCAAATACACTTTGCACCAGCAGAATAGTCAGTTTTTTTAGACTTTTTTGTGATTTTTAACACTATAAACGGACCCTTAAACTCAAACTAAAAGCTCTGATCTTTCCCTGCTGTCTTTTGTTTTTCTCTCCTCTGTTTTTAAACTCTTTGGTTCTTTCTCTGGGCTCCTGCTCCCGGGTGTTCCCCAGACTGGGGGCGTGTTTCGGGGCGCCTTACGTTGCCGTGGCAACCCCCCCGGCTGGTTTCCAGGCAGGGGTTGATGGGAGTACAGGAGTGGCCGTCCCCTCTGTATCCGTACCGACACACACACCTGGAGACACACACAAACACACACAGATCAACAAACACACACCTGGAGACACACACAAACACACAGATCAACAAACACACACTTGGACACACACACAAACACACACAGATCAACAAACACACACCTGGACACACACACAAACACACACAGATCAACAAACACACACCTGGAGACACACACACACA